AATCAGAGATATCAGCTGGTGACAGCTGTTGCCTTTGCTAGGAAAAAAGATGGGATCAGTAGAAGCCAAAATAATTAATATGTTAAAAATGTAACAAATACCATTATTTCATAGCACCTGATTCTTAGATGCTTTATCTCATTGGTATTCAAATAAAACTCTGCAGTGTGTTTGTTTTCATAATTCCATCATAACACTGTCCTTCAGCTTCCATTTTCCCTTTAGATAAATCTTCCTATCTCCACATTACTTGCAGATTCAACTATTATACATTCGGGAATCTTTATATACATTAATATTACTGAATAATTGATGCCCAGCATACTCAGTCTTAAGTTTAGAATCTGTTTCATTTGGCATCTCAAGCTTTTGGAAAGTACTGTGTCTTTATATCCCAGCACTCAATAACCATTGATAGCAACATGGGCACGACAGGAGGAGAAAAATTGCACTTGCAGAAAGCATTACTGATCCACTTCTCAAAGCCTATTATAAAGCCACAGCACTGTACTTTGGGACATGAGTTATGTGGGTCCACTTCGGCGGCCATTGCTGCAGAAGCTTGATGAATACAGCACTTCTCAGCTGCATTTTATCCCCTATGAGTTAAAGCACAGTCACTACATATCTGTCAAACTGAGTGTAAAACACAGCAGAAAACACTATTAATTATCCCTTAAACTTGTACTTAAAAAATAAAAGCAACATTTGTTAACTGCCTGCCATGTACTAAATGCCCTTACAACTTACAGTTCTTAGAGCATCTTTTCAAAATAACTATTACTTATACCTATTTTATGCAGGTGCTTAAAACTACCCAAGACTATGCATAAGAGATCATTCTTTCCCAGATTCCCAAATGCCATGTTCCTGGTCTAGAGCATCTGCAGTTTCCACCCTGGAAACTGCACTCCTCACCCTGCTGTTGACTTCTGTGACAGATCTCAGTATTCGCAACGAATTGTAACATCTCCTTTCTGGCTATAGACAATTGACTCAAAAGAGTTACCTGACTCAATTACCAGCAAGTCTTCTCTAGCAGTTGCAACAGGGGATAATTTATCAGAGAAGAATCTTTAAATTTTTAATGTATTATTAATTTTTTGGACTTTTTGAGACAGGGTTTTCCTGAAGCCCCAGCTGGCCTGGAACTCACTATGTAGAACAGGCTGGCCTTGATCTTACAGAGTGCTGCCTCTGCCTCCCGAGTGTGAGTGCTGGGGTTAAAGGCATGCACCTCCATGCTTGGCTCCAGACTTTTAATGTATTAGTTTATGCTTGTAAATAATACATACAATGAGTATGATAAATATAAATAGTCATTATAACTGAACCCCTGGTAGATCCAGAAGTCATTGTGACACCTAAGAATCACCTTTCCCTAGGAATCTTCCCAGCTTTTTCTCTTATCCCATCCCCCACTCTAGCCTTAACCATTTACCCAAACATGTATTTACTCTTCTCTTCCATTAAAAAAATTATATTTGGGGGCTGGAGAGATGGCTCAATTGTTAAGAGAACTGGTTGCTCTTCCAGAGGACCTGGGTTCCATTCCCAGCACCCACATGGTGGCAAACAACCATCTGTAACTCCAGTTCCAGGGGATCTAAAGCCTTCTTCTGGCCTCCATAGGCTTTGTACAACACAGGTGCACTTACATACAAACAGGCAAAACACTCATACACATAAAATAAAAATAAATTTTTAAAATGTATTTGACATTCACATGTTTTATAAAGACTACATAGATTATAGTCTGGTTGCTTATAAATACCCAATAATTTTTGTTGAGTAAGTCTCAGCTATTTCTATTTTTTCTATTTCTTCTTTCATATTTGTCTTTTCATGTTTATCTCTATAGTCCTGTGTGAACCAGAAGAAAGACAGCCTCTTCTTAAATAAATTTCCCAGTTTAGCAACTGGCAGAGCCTTCTAGCCAGTCACTAAAGCCATGAAGGAAGCTTGATGGCATCCTTTCTAGCTGCTGCCTGGCCCTCCACCTCCTGGTGTGCAGTGCCACCTCACCTCTCCATCGTCACTTCCATGTCTCTCCCAGCCCCCCTCATCTCTGGCCTGGAAAGCTGTCTTTAACCTTTTTCTGCTCCTACTCCTGATGCCTAAATTTGTGTTCCACTTTAGAGTCAAAGTGATTTTCATAGTCATCTAGTGTTCTTGCTTAGAACACTATGTGACTTCCCACTACATTTAAAAAAATATTGCTTCTCCCTAAGGACTTCAAATCATACATGCTATGATCTCTAGCTGACCTTGACTTAGTACCCTACTCCTTGCAGACCTCTGTACTTGCTGTTTCTGTCACCCTCATACTTTTCCCCAAGATCACTGTGTGAATTTTAAAACATTAGTCACCTGCACACAGAGGCTGTTTCTAACCAACTCACTTGGAGTAGCAGTTCTCTTGGCCATCACTGATCACATTCATTCTACTGACCTGTTGACTGTCCATCCAGCTAGTTTTATAAGTTCTATGAGGGTAAGAATCTTGACTTTGTTAGACATTATTCTTACACTTTATAAAAAAAGGGGGAGGCAAGGAAGATTTTTTTATTCAAGACAGTTGCAATAAAGGAGAAAGATCAGACTCAGCTCCAAATACAACCAGGGGAGTTACAAGGAGGAGAGTTAAAAGGAGAGGGGGCATTGTGTGGAAATTTACCAAACTGATCTGAAAGAATTCTTCTAAAGAAGCCAAAACTTAGATGTTAAATGAAGGAGATAAAAACATATATCCAGGTACGAGAGTTGTTCTAAGCTGACTTAGCAAGACTGTTTTGTAATAATCAGGTTGGACAAGCCAAGAATAGAAAAAGGCCACCCACGAATTAAGAAGAAAGCTCAGAGGAGCCTGACTGAAGTTTGGTAATGGAGATCATCTTTGTTAACTTCTTGCTATTTTCTATATCTCTAAAGAGGTATCGAAATATAGGGAAAGCTACAAATTAAGACAAAAATAAATGTTTTATTTTCTTTTACCTACATGAAGAGAGGTAAAACAAAGAGCTGAAATCACTTTTCTTGAGACAGAGTCTCACTAAGTAGCCCTAGCTGCCCTGGAACTTACTATGTAGGCTGGCCCCAAATTCACTGAGATCCACCTGCCTCTGCCTCTGCCTCTGCCTCAGAAGTGTTGGAATTAAAGGTGTGTACCACCACATCTGGCACTGAAATTCCTTTTAATAATATCCTTCACTTGATGTATCACTTCCAAATTTTATCATTTCAATGGATAATATAAAATTATTAATGAAATATTATCAATTCTTTTCTTATAGATAATATCATAAACAGAACTGAAAATGTAGCTGAGTTGTAAGGAACTTGCCTGACATGAGCAAGGTTCTGGGGTCAATTCTTAGCAGTAGAAAGAAGAAAGGCAAGGAAGAGAGAGAGAGAGAGAGAGAGAGAGAGAGAGAGAGAGAGAGAGAAGGGAGGGAAGGAAAGAAAATAGAGGCGGGAAGAGAGGGAAAAGGGAGAGGACAGAGACAGACAAGGATAGATCAGCAATCAATGTATAACTACGTGATGGGCAGCTCAGTCTAAAGGCTAGAATAGCAACTGATCACAAGGTATGTAGTAAATGTTTATTGGATACATGCATGGATGAATTAATGATAGAAATCCATTCATAGAAATGGCAGTTTCCTTCCCTACAAATGGTTAGGATATGATGTTGCCAGGTTTTACTTTTGAGTATTTATTGATTTGGGAAGGAATGAATAATCCAAGTAATAAGAGGACACCACATCTCAAATACTTGGTAAACTATAAAATAATGATAGAAAAATACGTTCTATGCATGTAGGTATTTATTATTGTAGCTTTTGCCAATTACACATCATTTTTATCCATCTTTTTTTAATGTATGTCACTACAATTTTCACACTTTCTGTGCAAAAAATTATTTAAAATATCTGAATTTTTTATTCCTTCAGTTCATCTTTGGTTTCTATATTAAATAATTACAGGTGCTACCATTTGGCATTATTTATTCCCTAGAAAACACCAGAGTCATGGTTGCCAGATCCCTCTGCTAGGAACAGTAATACACTTGGACTTACTGTGCACAACCTAGCTTCAGAATGTTTCTTTATTGCATTATTTCTCCTCCCTCATCCAATGCCTTAAATTAAGAAAGAAAAATGGTGTGTTTTCTTATTTACCCACAGTTAGGATGTGTCTATCTATCTGACTTTCTGTTTCCATTGGTGTATGTTCAGCTGTAAAACTGATCTCTTCTAGTGAAATCCATTGTGACATTCACAAAAGCTGTCATTTCTGAGTAAGATCAACTAAATACCCACGAAAACAACCAAAAATACAGAGGATTTGTGAAAATATTTATGTGATATTCTGTCTATGTCTCATGTAGTCCCATTTGACATCTTTATAAATCCAGATTTAAAAATGTAGGCCCTAGAAAACTGAAGTATACTTTCAAATGAGAAAGATACTACATTTTCACTCCAGCCTGGTGAGTGATAGAAAAGAATGTAGCTTCCGTTGCTTCTGCTCCTGTAATTAGATTTCTTGATAGAGACATGAACATGTTTTTTTATTTTACTCTTGAATTTTACTCTTAAATTTTCTGGCATGCTTTATAAAGGCCAAATCAATGCTAAATCAGAGGTATTTACAACATCTACAAATTTAATCCAAAGAGGATACTTAAAAGCTCATATAGACCTAAATGATCTTCCCCCAGATGGTGAATTAATGTAATTTTAGCAGGAAGCAAAGTTGCACAAATATGCAATATTGAGGCCCTCCACTGATTTAATGTATCTTTTCCCACCACGCACAGATGTTGCTCATCACTTTGATGCCAGTTGTCTGTTTCTCTATATCCTATCAAGGGAAGACTGGGATTTGGAAGTTCAGGAAATCATGATTTATTGTGTTACTAATGATTTGTTTGAAATTGAAGCTTCTGTGAAACAAACACACACATATATAAATTGTATTGATTATGTTCTTTCTAGGGTTTGAAAGGTGACTTGGGTCCTCAAGGTGCACCTGGTCCAAAAGGAGAAAAGGTATTGTATTGACCCCAAAGTGTGTCAACCTTATCTTAAAACTCCTCCCTCCAAAAAGAGAAAGAAAAACAATGGAACGACTTATAGATATCATCTAGGTGCCAAACATTTTAAAATTAATGGAAGGCTATTGTGTTAAAAGCTTCTGAATGAGAAAAGCCTTTGGGCTCATTTAATTAGTTTGAAGAGACTGAATGTGCAATTACTAGTTGACACTAACTCAGGTTTTAAGACTTCCTTTTTCTCACCCTTGCTTAACAGCATGAGGTGTCCAAACTAGCGAAGGTGTCCTATGTCAAGGAGTTCAGTCAACAGCACTAAGCTGTCACCTTAATGATGAAGCAGGTGGCTTTGGGAGGAAGGAAGCTAACTTTGTGTCTCAGTCTTGTCTAAATGCTCCATTTCCAGCACTTTTCCCTGTGTTATTTCATAATGGCCTATTGGCAGGTGACCTTGCAGTCAGAATTGAGGAATATTAAAAGCAAGAATTGTGTGGAATGAGTTAATTGGGCAATTTCAGTTTCATGGAAATTGCATACATGTGTGTTTATGCTGCATTTTGTTCTTCATTCTCAGCATATTTAGCAGTTCATGTCTATCTTTAATATTTATTTCTTATTAGAGGTGATCTTGCAAATCAGTCTTAGTGGCTGATAAGCTATACTCGTGTTCCTTAACAACCTCTATTTTAATGCAATTGTTCCACAAATAATGGATATACAGTTTTAAAATTAGGGATAACTAAACTGACTGAGAAAAAAGAAAATCCTAAAGATCTCTCAGCATGACATCCCAAGATACACGGCACAAGCATATGGAATTCTATAACAAAAAGCACAGCAAAGACACTCATCCCTAAAGATGGAGAATGTTCATTAAATACATAGAGCTTCTGAGTCAATGAAACACAAAAGAGATACATAGTCAAGTTGTGGATACTTTTTAAAAGATTTTGAACAGTCACTATACACACCTGGAAATCTATATTTGCAAAGATCAACAAAGCAGTTTTAGCAGTGGAGAATACATAGATGAAGGAAAAGCCTCTTAAAGATGGTGACACATGTGATGCCCATTCATCAAAGCTTAGGAGAGGGTGTGGGAACTGCTCCTTGCAGCTGGAGGGCATGAAGTGGATTAGATCCATTTATTATTTCTGCTGATCCTCATACTAACTTTGTCAGAAAAATTATCTGTCCCTATGATGCTTCCCAGCTGCTCCACCGGCAAGTAACCATATTTGGAAAGATAATTTTTTGTTCTAATTTTGGATTAGCAGTCGAAAGAATTGAAAATTAGATTATTTTAGTTTTTCAAAACAAGTTCTGCTACTGCAAAAAGCATGAGGGCACACAAGGCAATTTTTATATCATGAGTCCTAAAAGGAATATAATAAATATCTCATTGTGCAGAGAGTTTTATCAAGTAAAATTCTATTTTTATGTCCTTCAAGAGTTATCTATAGATATTGCTTCTTTCTAGAAAGTCAGAAATAATGTGCAAAAAGGTGCTGCTGGTAATTGTAACTTTTCTTTCACATATTTTAGGGTGATATGGGACCTCCAGGGCCACCAGCATTAATTGTAAGTATTCTTGAAATGAAAATCAAATTTGAATTCTGTTATATTTGTTATTCACAATACATCATGACTGAAATGAAATTTAAATCAGAGTATTTCAAGAACTAATAGTGACCTTAGACTGTATCTAGAAAATTGCCTCATTTTGAAAATGGCCTCTTACTTGGAGCAGTGAAATTCTTTATCCAAGGTCTTAATACCTCACACAAAAGTTTGCAGTCAATATCCATCCTGAGCAATTTTCTTTATCCTTACCATGGTTCACACTTAATGGAAAAAAAAAAGACAGTTTTTATGATCATCTGTAGCCTGAGGTCTCTCAAATTTTAAGTTGATTTTACTTAATGACATAAATTAAACATCAGACATCAGTATTCAAGGGCACAGGGTGGTGACAAAGGTCAGGATTAAGGGTGAATACTCAGGATCTTGATGGAACTCTTGTCAATAACACATAGGACTTTCAAAGGCTCGTGATTTTATATATGTGTCTTTTTCTAGTATTTGAGCACTCCAGTAGGAATAATGTGTCAGTAATGTCTTTCCATATCATCTTTGTATCTGGCATTTAAAAGACAAGTATTTCATGGTATGTAGGTGTGATTTGAATGAAAATGTCACCTATAGACTTCAAGTATTTGGACATTTTGTCCCCAGTTGGTGGAACTGTTTTGAGAGGTCTTAGAAGGTGTAGCCATGCTGGAGGAAGCATGTCACTGGGGGCAGGTTTAGAGAGCTTTTAAGCCTTGCTGTATTTCAAGTCACTTTCTTGCTTCCTGTGCCTGAGTGAAGATATGAGAGCTGAGCTTCTGCTCCTCCTCTAGCCACCTCTACTCCATGCCTCCCGCCATGATGGACTCTTGCCCCTTCGGAACCATAAACTAAATAAATTCATCCTTTCATAAGTTGCTTGGTCAGTGTTTCTATCATAACGACAGAAAAGTAATTAATACAGTAGGGATCCAAAGACGCCAAACATCTGACTTACTATGGAATAACCAAGTTCTATACTTTAATTTTTTTATTTCAAAACTGAATAAAATTATTTCAGAAGAAACTTTTACCTTCATATCATTCTATTTTATATGTGTTGGTATTAAAAACTTACTTGGCAAGATTTAGAGTTCTTCAAGACACAGGGCTGTTTTTCTTTAGCCAATTTATATTTACAACCATTTCATTTAGTTATTTGATTTCCTAGTTATGTTCAACTCCTGTTTGAAGGCTGAAATGTGATCTCTGTTTATCATTTCATCTGAAATGTAGTTTTTGACCCTCAGTCAGAATATTGTATTGGACTTGGTCTACGTTGTTGGTCTTTCTTTAATTTCTTTCTGCTATTGAACACTAGTTGGATGACTCTGTGCCATTCACTTGAGTGAGACTTACAAAGCACAAGCTAATTATGAAATGAAATGCTGTATTTTATAAAGTAAAATAATAATATTATGTGGGTATTACTATTTGATATGCTTACATTAATTTCTGTACTCCCATAGACAGTCAACCATTATCTATAATAGGAATGAGCTGAGATGAACACCAAAAACTCAACTAAATATTTAATTGGTCTTATAATGCAGGTTAATATATTATTAATTGAAGTAATGGATAATAATCTTCCTTCTGGGAAGTCAAAATGACCAAGTGCACTATACTTGGATTAAATGAGACAGTGACATAGTTTTCCACAGTGAGTCTCAAAACTAGCTTCCCACTAAAATCAACCGGCTTGGAAAATACCAGCATTGGGTTTCTATCCCTTAAAATTCCACTTTAATAAGTCTGATGTGGGACCAGTACATTTTTAAAGCCCCACAGGTAAGATCTACATATGAAATTTGAGTGGACAACCATTGTTTATGGACACTAGAAGGGAACAACCTGTCATACTACCCACAAAATTCTTTTAGAATGTTGGAGTACTCTGGATTTTATTTGAAATCCAACTTAATGCACAGTAATAAAGAAATATCTCTTTCCCTTAGAGAGGCATACTAGTAAAAAAAAAAAACAAAACTGAAATTTGCTTGGTGAAGTAGAAGGGATTAGGGATAGGAATGTACTTTTGATTTCAACTTTAACCCAATCATTCAAGTACTCCAGAGGGCCCAGGTGCCTTAATGCTTCTCCAAATTTAATGAGCACAGGAGCCACTCAGAGATCTTGTTCAAGTGTGTAGTTTTTATTCTGTAAGTCTGGGGTTGAGAGCTGAGATTATACATTTTAGAAAGTTCCAGAGAAAAGCTGATGGTACTCTTGATCCTTGTGTCAAACTTTGAGTCACAGAGTTCAGTACTCTCTCTAGCTCACTGTCTAGATCAGTGGTTTTCCATGTTGACTGCACAGTAAAATCATCCCCAAAGACTTTAAAAATCTGATTATGGGCTGTACTATATACTGTAAAGTCAGAATTTCTAGGAAAGGGCCCATGCAGCAATCATTTTTAAAAGTAATTCCTACATAGCCAAGTTTGAAACTTCTTGTCCTGCAGGCATGCCTAATAATTTTCTTTCAACCTTTGCCTCTCAACTCTTGAGCAAATATTTTTGAATTCCCCATTAGTTAATATTTGCATCAAAAGAATATACCAAACCCAGTTACTTTCAGGAACCTTCACAAGAGGGCAGATTTTCACTAGTAATATCTAATGTTTGATTCCTGATTACTTCATTATAGAGGATGAACTTCAACCTACTACTGAGTTCAGCAATGATTTTTTTCCAGGGCATATTATTCTAGAGACTATCCAAGTTTACACAGGTGAGCTGTCCTGAAGAAAAAAGGTAAACATACTGGATAGCTTTCTCCCTCTAAATCATGCATTATTATTAAATTTAATATGAGTTTTTGTTTAACAAGAAATTAAGAGAAACAGCAATTGAGTATAATGTAACACTGGGTCCTGGTGCTACACAGGGAAATCTCTCTTGATATAGAAGTTTCATGGAGGGTTGAGTTTATACATTTATTTCAGTGTATCCCTGTGAATTACTGTGCTTTGGCTATTGACAGAAAATTTTAAAGTCAAGGAAAACCACATCATAATAAATCTAATGCAGTACATAAAACCATCTCTCTATTTTCATTAAATGTTATTTTTGTTTCTTATTTTGCTTTCTAACTGGTTATATGTAATTGGGTTTCAGTGGAGGAGATGAATAAAGGAGTAAGACAAGGCAAATTAACAACAAATAAAGACAATTAAAGTTAAAGAAATACTATGAAATACTCATAGCACTAAAAATAATTTTAGTCTGGAAGCAATTTCAGTATAAATGTTCACATCTCTTACCCTCCCCACCATCTTACTGCTCAGTCTCCTCCAGGACACCTTAGAAAAGCACCGTGGAGGACACCACTACCAAGAAAAAAGACCAAAGCAGCCCTGCAGTTTTCAAATGCAATCTCTATTAGATGCTTTTCTTAGTTGATGAACTTAGATCACATTCAGAATTTCAGAGTTGAATTCTTTTGATAACATTTGGATCTTTTCTTAGATTTATCTTCACAGGTCATACAGACAGACCTCCAAAGTGACTACATCAGGGGTAATCTTCCAAAAAAAAAAAAAGAGGGGAGGGAAGGAAAATCTAGGGACTGAAAACGTAGACATGTGCAGAAGTTATGGTTGTACTGCTTATATCTTTAACTTTTAAATCTTTTGTCAGTCTACTTGGCTTGAAAACTCTGAATTATAATTTTTGACATCAGATGAACAAACTTGCAAATCTTCTCAGTTACCTTCTTTAAAGCTTTTGGAGATTATTCTAAAAATAAAACATTAAGAAATACCCGCAAGAACAACCTGGTGAATCTGTGAGTGGAACAGAGTTTAGCGTCGTCAACAAATATGTTCTTCGGAGATACAGTAACAATACATTAAACTCAGCTTAGAAGAAAAACAAAATCCGTACAAATCCACTTCCATATTTTTTTCCTTTTCTGATTATCCGTGCACCTCTTTTTTTCTTTCTCATGACGATACCTTTAAATTACTGAGTGCTAACTTGCGCTATGAATTGGGCTCTTTTTCTCTCTGAAAATTTCATACATGTATACAATGTATTTTAATCATATCCACTCTTACTCTCCAACTATTCCCAGGACTCACCCTCAAGTCCCCTTCACATCTCTCTCCCACTCAGTTTTATGTCTTCCTTTTAGAAGTTTATTCATTTTTCATTTATTTATTTTTAACCCACTGAGTCCAATTAGTCCTTCCCATATGTGCATGGGTAGGGTATGTGGGTCATGCACCAGAACATGGAGAACCTACCAGTGTCCACACTCTCAAAGAAAAGTGACTCTCACACTTGGACATCCATGTTTGTTGCTGCTCTTTTCACAATACCTAAGAGATGGAAGCAACCTAAGTGTCCCTCAACTGACAAGTAGATAATAAAAATGTGGTTCATTTATACAACTGAGTTTTACTCAGCAGCAAAGAAAGATAGAATCATGAAATTTGCAGGTAAATGGATGGAACTAGAAACAAGTTATACTAAGTGAAGTAACACAGACTCAGAAAACAAAATGACATATGTTCTTCCTCATATGTGTATCCTAGCACCAAATCCTTAAAAGTGAGTATGTATCCAGACACAACTACAGGAACCAGGATAATGAAAAGGAACCAGGGAGTTAAAGGAAAAGAAAGACTCTGAAAGAGAAGAACAGTAGGAAACAGGCATTAATAAGGGAGATATGGATAAAAATTGCGTTATTGGAGGGGGGGGGGGGAGGGAGAGTTATACAAGGAACCTTGGGGATAAAGGGAAAGGAGGAGCTCAAGAGAGGTGGAACCACAGGAGAAGGGTATTATTAAGGGAGAAATGGGAAAAAATGGGAGCACCTTAAATGGGGAAACCGTGGTGGAAGGGTTAGACAATGAGATAAATAATACCTAGCTAGTTTAAAAAAAAAAAAAACAAAAAAACAGAGGAACCATATTAATCGAACAACCTACTCACAAATTATACATACAACTAGCTCAAGGAATA